TGTGTGTGTGTGTGTTACACACCAGACCGTCTGTCTACAAACAGGAGCCAGCAGTGCTGCTCGTGTCCTACTGTCGTTTCTGTTTGTGATGCTGTTGTTGTTGTTTGTCTCTGTGCCGTCTCCGTGGCGACTCAGTTCCATCCGTGTGAAAGACAAAGGCGCAGAGCGCCGTGGCTGCAGGGGAGGAGAGCGCACGTTTCTAAAAAGTCAGTCTTATTGTTTCGTGAATTGCCTGCAGCTCTGAGCGAAGCGTGGCGAGTTACACAGCGGCAGAGTACGGCCTCATCGGCGCCCCCTGCATGCAGTAGTGTTCACTGCAGACACAAAGGGAGGAGCCATCGTTTCAAAGTGCATGACGTTTAATACGTTCATATCTCGTGCTGACAGCGACGGTATATTATGTCGTCTGGAACAGGAAGTTGATGCGAGCTGCTGACTCTGTTTCAGCCTGGTGAGGGCGTATTCGCTCCCTGATGGGTCGTATGACTCACAAAAACTAACAGAGGCTGCCTCAGGGTCGCCCATCTACACCACAGCTGCTGTGAGCGTACGCTGTCATGTGCTTTGAGCAACTAGCCCTGTTTGAGTAAACTAGCAAAGTGCCGCAGCATTTTTTTAGCTTAGCCCTCTGTTTGTGTTTGTTCTGCTTCCTGTTTTATTTTGGGAATTGCTCTTCCTGTTGCTGTCTTTCCTTTTTTGGATTTTCAGCTCCACCTTTATCGTTTCCACCTGTGCTCCACTCCCACCTGTGTCTCTTGATCACTCCATCCTCACACCCACAGAAAATGTGCCATTTTGGGACAAAGTTTCTCCATAAACGCTAAAGCCCACGGCGAGGTGCTTCCAACTGAGCTTACACAAAGAAGCAGATAAAAAACATTTATTTCAAATAACACAGTCAGCACCCCTGCTGTGTTTTGCGGGAAACCCCGTTTCTCGCACGCTCCTGCGTTTCTGACTGATCAGTCGAGTCTCATTCCCGAAAGCTGCTCGGACACATTTAAGCGTTTTGGTGTCATACGCGGCAGATCTGTGGTTCTTCAGCTGTCAGCGAGCCACACGTCGACCGAGTCTCTGGGTCAGAGCAGACGTTTGTGCTGCTCCTGGCAGGTTCTCCAAAGTGGAACTGATCCTGGGTGGGAAGCAGGACACGAAGGGGATCAGTGGGTGTGGACCAATCAAAGGCCTCGGAGACCAAACTGGTTGTAATGATCACAAGGACATGAAAGGTGTGATCCGAGCTGAAGCTGCTGTTCTAACACAAAGAAACAGGAGTGAAAGCGTGGATATTCACACAGTCATGACCACAAAGCCGCCGCCGCCATCCTCACTGTTTTATTTTTAATGAAGCTGGAATGTTTCACTTCGTTTCATTTTAAAGGTTCAAACTGGGATGGGGCCTCCTGTCGGAGAAACTCGAGGGTTGAATTTAAATTTTAATGAAGAGCTTTGATGTTCGTCTGAAACCCAGCGAGCCTCCTGGCTGTGGGAAACGTGACAAAATCCATTTTCCATGACTGCAGAGAATCACCTGTACAGGTGGATGTGTCACACTATGCCCCCGGTTTATGAGCAGTAACTGCTGCGCAGCTCGCCGTGACGCGGCCGTGAGGACGAGCTCTGTTCACATGCAGACCCTGATGTCACATTTAACACGTGCACTGTGTTCACAGCTGGTCCTGTTGGCTGCAGTTCCCCCAGGGGGCGCTCTCAAGGAGTCCTGAATGGGCAGCATGCTGACATGGATCAACTCTTCTGTCCTTCAGCCTCTCCAACTTCGTAGACTCCTCCGAATGCAGCCGACAAATGCGTCCTCCTTTTCCCCGAATTTGAAGGATGGGTCGGGTGTGTCCTTCGTGGCCCACCATATCCCAGAATTCATAGCGCGGCCCAGCCAAA